CATTTTCACCAATTGCAAAGATTATAATTTGGAATGGACCGAGGAATTTCGGGTTCGACAAGGAACAAACGGAATGAGAGAAGGAACGGAGAAAGGAATTTAAGAATGAGCCGATGTTCAATTTGTGTAATCTTTATTCCCGTTTGTGACTCCATGAGGGGTGTTGTCTTGACTCTGGGTATAAAGGGACTCTAGAGTCCTAGCGAAACTCCAAATAAAATTCGCATACGCACGGTGTGACGTATGAGGCAATGTGGCGACGCACCCGACGTAAACGTTTAAAGTCGAGAGGAGAAAAGAAGAAGAATATGAAGACGGGGAAAAAGAAGAAGGGAGTGCCGGCTACCGGGCTGGAGAGTTCACCTCGAGTTCTTTCAGGGAAATTAGTCCGTTTTGAGAGAGAGATGGAGGGAAGAGAGAATGGGTCTTAAGCGTGCAGACTCGAGTTAACAGCCTCATCTTGAGGGCAAAAATTAAAAGTGGAGCCCGACACTCCACCGATACCGAGTCCATCTCCAGACTCGACGCGGCCAACAATTTACGACTTTTTTCCCTCGACAAGAGGAACGTAACAACCTTCCAAGGAAAAACGTCGTATGAACCTTCAGGCGGTGCCAAATTTCCTTCGATAAAACACAAATTTCCTGGTAACATATGAATATTTTCCCTCCAATTTTTCGGATAATTTTCTTCGCAATTTCACATGAAGTTCCTGAAAAGTTCAAGGGGAGATATTCGTAACTTTTCTTAAAAATAAACATTTTACCGAAGGAAATTTGGCGACTCTCGAATATTCATACGGCGTTCTCCCTTGGCACGGCAGTATAAGGGCACCGTCCTCATGGGTCTGTTGCATAATCACGCGCGGAGCGCGCGTATAATGTGGACTTCATTGCGCAATAAGGGACTACAATCTCGGAATCATTTGCAAAAGCACATATCTGCACAGAGAAACTAATGGCGTATTCACTGTTCCTAAAATGTGCCAGAAATAGTAGTTCCTTATTGCAGAATGTAGTCCATATCTCGTCACCTTCCGGCCAAAGTATCACAAACGCCGTGCGACCTTTCACAATTTCCGTCGCTATGTTATTTTTTACGGTGAATTTTTTGATTGAATCATTTGTAAAAGCACATATCTGAGGAGAAAAACTAATGGCGTATTTGTTGTTTCTAAAATGTGCCAGAAATAGTAGTTCCTTATTGCAGAATGTAGTCCATATCTCGTCACCTTCCGGCAGAAGTATCACAAGCGCCGTGCGACCTTTCACAATTTCTGACGCCATGTTCTTTTTGTTACAGAGAATTTGTTGATTGAATCTGTTTGAAAATTTCACTGAATTTTATCAGCGGCACAAAAAAAATTCGGTGAAATTCTCGTACAGCTTTGTTAAACCATTTCTCTGTAAAAAAACAAAATGGTCGCGCAATTTTTAAACGTCGTACGATGCTTGTGATACTTTGACCGGAAGGTGACGATCTATTGCTCTGTCGGCCTCCTATGGTGTAGTGTCGGCCTCCTATGGTGTAGTGGTTGTAGCGCTTGCTCTATGATCGGGAGGTCCCGGGTTCGATTCCCGGCCAGGCGACCCGAGTTTGATGGTCTCAAACAATGGTTGCCTGGGACT